TTGTAAGCTAGTGGATCACAGTAAGACATGACAGTGTGACAGTGGTTCATTATGAATAATAACAGGGGCCTCATAACAGGAACAGTATCCTCACTGCTTTCCCTTTAGTTTCAAAGATAGGAAAAATCGTAACCTCTATTACAGAAGCAATTCCTAAACTCATGGCTGTGTCCATGAACAAGCCATAATATCAACTGCGCTCACTTGTCTCTGGCTAGTTCGCTTGCTATCATAAACAAAAAGACAGGCATTTTGTTTGGTGGGAAACATAAATATCATGGCACCAGAGTGCAGATAGCTTGGGTGACCTCTGTGATGTCGCGTGAGATGCAGGGCTGTGATTTTAAGGACAGATCTGCATCCTCAGTCTGAAAGTCACCCTAATGCTGTGTTCACACTACGAGCGACAACGAAACAGGCCATGATTCATTTTCAATGGAGACAGTGGCATGAAGCTACAAACTGACACCAGACACCGCCGACGGGTATGACGCACCACAAGCGAAAGTTGAGCTGGCCTCAACTTTTTTCAGTGCTCCAATGACACGGCCAAGCATCAGCTAATCATGTTTTTGTTTCTAGCTGTGGTGCTGTGTTATTTAGCTTAGTTAGCTGGTGCTATGCTAGCTTTATGTGTATTGTAGTGCACACAGGGATGCAGTGGGATGGCAAAATGTGATGTCAAAATGGAGCTCAGACATTGAACATCAGCACAAATACTTTTATGACCCAATACACACTAAAGATGATGTGAAGTCAGGGACATAAATATAGACAGTGCAGACAGTGCACTTGCACTGGGCCCCTTGAGGTGGGAGGCCCATAGAGAGAGTGGGCCCTCCAACAATGTGTTGGGTGGAGAATGGGCCCTTATGAGTGACTGCCACCTTGAAAATATGACTATGTTCAAAGAACTGTCATTAAATTAAAAACAGTGCCATTTGCTATATATGCTCTTGAAAAAGGCAAACCCATCTCCATTATTTTACTTATTATTTTTTATTAAATAAACAGTAGCAACAAAATTATATGCTTATCCAGTAACTATAAATCAACTAGGCTATTAAAATTGTTAAATCAATAATTTATGATTTTTTGGTATTTTTTGTTATATACAGATATATGCAATGATGATTGTTGGGTAATATGTTGATGTTATCTAATGTCAAGTCTCTGATCATGTGACGAGGCAACATGTGTATGATTGGGTACACTAGGGCTGTCATAATAGCATGAACTGGGCCCCGTTGTAACTACCTTAAGCCACTGCGTTCAGTCAGGGTGCTTTGTGGCCAGTAGCAGACACACACAAGCTTGTCATAACGCAACTACGTTACAAGTGGTTAAGCAACATTTCAGCGGTGACTCAGTGATAATGTAGCTGATCAAGCTGTTGCTGTGTTGCTCGTAGTGAGAACACAGCAGAAGTGTTGCTCAAGCGTTGATTAACATAGTTACGTCAGGATTGGGCTTGTGTGTGTCTGCTAAAAAAGTACCTCAACTGAACGTCATCTTTAGTTTGTATTTGGTCATGAAAATATCTCTGCTTTTGATAAATGTCTGGGCCCCATTTTAACATCACATTTTGCAGTCCTGTTGCATCGTCATGTGCACCGCAATGCACATAAAGCTAGCATAGCATCAGCTAACTTGGCTTAATACTGCAGTGCCACAGCTAGAAATAGCTGCATCATTGGAGTGCTGAAAAAAGTTGGGGCCAACTCAACTTTGATTTGTAACGTGTCACACCTGTCGGCAGCGACAAGTGTAGCTACAGTTTACCGTCATCTACTGAAAATGTCTTGTTGCCTGTTGCTGTGTCAATCGTAGTGTGAGCACAGCATTAGAAAAAAAGACGAGGTGCATTTGTGATGTGTACAGCCACCGTCAGAGCCCCATGCCTCCTTGCCGGCGTCTTGAGAGCCTGACGTAGCATGTCAATCAAACTCAAACTCATTAGTAAATGGTCTATGAAATTCAAAGCACCATCATATGCTTTGAGCAGCCTTTCAGTCTTTATATTTTGGTGTTCATGTTCTTTTCTGTCTTCATCATCAGTGCTATACAGACTTTACAACAGTGCTGCTGCCATTTTTGGCAGGATGGGGTCTGTGCCAACCCAACCTATTTTCCTAACCTGGGAAATCCCTAAGTTAGGACAGTTCTGTAATAGCTAAATTCCTATCCTACAATATGGGAGAATTTGTCATTGATTGGCATGTTTCTGTAATACCCAAAATATTCACCATCATCCTAAAATGAGATAGGATTTCAGTCTTAGGAAGTTTCTGTAATGAGGCCCGAGGCCCCAGCTAAATTGATTTCATAATTTACACATGCTTTTCCTATTGTGACATGTCAGACATCTTTGAAAAAGGCCCATGTCCCTCACTTGTAGTCACACTGTTAGGTACCATAATGTGTCCATTCACAGCCTCACATCATTTACTGTATGCTCTATGAGAACGTGCCGGGTCCTGACAGCTCTGTTTTGGTTGTGCTCTCTCAGCCATATTTCAGATCATCCAGAGCATCCGTATGGGGATGTGATGCAGAAGGAGCATCCGGACTCCCACACCCCCCTCATGCCCTCACTGAGCCTGGCTAGCCCGCACCTGCATACCCCTGACCCCTTCCAGAGGCCCAGAGACTGACTCCAAAGCTTTGGATCCGGCAGACCTCAGAGAGAGAGAGAGAGAGAGAGAGAGAGAGAGAGAGAGAGAGATAAGCTTCCCCGACCACCGCCTCCACCAGCCCCTCCTGGGGACACGCCCCCCGCCCTCGATCAGCGTTTACAGTGTTGCAGTCTGTGGTACTGACAGCTTTTCTATGGACAGTCTAAAACCACGCCGGCTGGAGAACTTGTGTGTCTCATTACTCACTTGGCACCTGTGCGTGTGTGAGTTTATGTGTGAAGTTGTGACTGTTGACGTGAGAGTGTGTGTAGCCAGTGATTCCTGCTGACGATGTGCCATATCTGTCTGTTTAAGTGTCTGTGTTATGTGAAAAGAATCTTTTTTCAAATAAATGTCAAACATTTAGGGAGCGCCCAGTTTTACTTCTGTTTTTGTAGACTCCCTGTGTTTATCAGTGCACACACAAACACACACATACACACACTGTACTGTCAGGACACTTTATAGGGTCTTTACATCCTGGATGACATTAATAACTGTGTTATTTATTTTGAAGCATCAGGATGTCTTGTACAGCTCTTAGTAGGGAACACCACCTAAGAATCCCATTATGTTATCTCCATGGCCTGGGAAAGTTCAATCAATATTTGTGAACATGAGCTACTCTCTCTCAAAGCCAGAAACCAGAGAAGGAAGTCTCAAACTTGTGGTGTCACAGGGTATAAAGTCTGGAGCTGCTCCATAGACATGAAATACTCAGAACATTTCCCTGTGTGCTCTCAGTGTCATCTAGAACAGTGGTTCTCAATTGGTCCAGCCACAGGTCCAGATTTCTCCTTAGTCATAGTTAAAGGTCCACACAGCTTAATACAATCAGCGTCACAGTTGTGGTTGGCCACGTCCTCGAGCTAGTTTGCTGTCTCTGTCAAGTAGCTGACTGCTCATCACTCAATCTAGAGCAGGATACGGCACTTTAAAATAAAAGCTCCACATCCGAAATTCACTTTACTTCAAAACAAAGTGTTTTTTTAAATAAACTTGACACGTTTGCAAGTGACTTGTGGTCCTTTAAGAATGGACCACGACTCACTAGTTTGGAACCACTGATCTAGAACATCTGTAACCATTCACTGTGTATGGAGCAGCTCCAGACTTAATAGCATTTAGGCGCTGACACAAAGACAATGGTCGACCGTTTGTTAATGTTAGGCCATTTGTGAGCGTCTGTCACCACAATATTGGCGGTGTGTTAAGACCTTTTTAATGCCACTTGGAATTAAATTTAAAGCCAATCTTACAATTACCACAACTGAAGAAAAAATAAATAAACCAACATCCGTTACTTAGGGTTCGGGAGAATTTAGCCCAAACATATATTGTATCATAAAACATGACTTTTTGGTGACATTATTGCGAGAGGTGTTTGTTTTTGTTAAAGTTATCAATCATTCTGAGATTTTACAATGTAATGTGAAATTAAAAAAAAAACCTACTTCCCCATCTTAGCATTTGTAAGACTTTTGAAAGGTTGATTTAATACATTTTAATGCCAATTAAGTCCTTATTTTTAGTTATTTCAATGCCTTCTAAGACTTTAAGGTTCCGTGGGACATCTGGTTTTAAAATGGATGTTTCCTTCTTATCACAGCCATTAAATCTCTCTCCCAGAAAGATACTACAAAAATAAATCCACTCAAGTGTTGCAGTAAGGGGAGACTGTCAAATATTTCCTAATAACTTTAATTAAAGTTGCCTTAAGGAGTGTGTAATTACTTATTACTTATTAAAGCCGTTTACAGACCAAGCTCTGAAACTTATTTTAGCTAGTTTAGCTTGTTGCATTTAGTTTAAAAGCAGTTGTTGGTCTCTGGAGGACTTACTTTAAACACAAGTAAGCAGGTGTTCATCAGTTATTTATTATTAGACATCTTACTCTTTGTATGTTGAATTGCATCCTTGCCCTTTTTTGCAAACAAAATATATATTGTCTGAATTTAAGTGGTGCTAAATTGCAGAGAAACTTTGTAGGAATCTTAACCTTACCAACTGTTTTTGGTTGAACCTTAAATTAATCTTTGAAGGTCATCTAGGAGCAGCTTCAATCCAGACACCACCAGGCTATGACTTTGCCTCTCAGCCAACAACAGGGTTCAACAACATAATGTACAGTCATAAAGCTCCATTTAATAACACCCTGAAGCTGCATACCATGGATGTAAGAAGCAGCATGACTCCACATGTGACAGGAGACAAAATGCCCTTTAGCACCCAAAGGCGTGGTGAACCTTTACATGGTCACATCCGACAGACTGACCGAGCCCAGCAGCCGTGAGACGGAATAAGAAAGAGAAGGTGATCGAGTGGTTATTCTTCCTTAAGCATGTTTATTAAAAGTTGTGAAGTGCAGCTGTCAAGTGCAATTGTGGTATGTATGTTACAATATCTCAACCGGTCCTTGCAGAAACATGCACAGAACATGAGCATACAACTGATACACAGAATGAAAAAGAAAGAAAAAACATCTCTAGAGTTTGTTTTTGTCTTTTTTTAAATGTTGAGTTTTAAGATATTGTTCATCCAAAAGTACTTCACTGTCAAATAAAAAAAAAATGATAAAGGTGCAATACTCCAGAAAGAAAAGGAACCAAGTGAAAATGATTTTACAGTAAGAGTTAATGTAGCAGTAAGGGATATGGACACCGTTGTTGTCTGTGTGTTGTCAGTTAAATAACCTAAACTCCCGTTCCTCCACAGTCTTGAAAATACAGCATTAAAAATAGACGACACAGACTGGGCAAGACCAGCACGTTCCCCGCTCACCCGCTTCAATCTGTGTGGCCAAGATAGCCTCTGTTGTTTTTCTCCTTTCTCCTCACTATTTTACATGGTACTTACACTATACAGAAATATACATCATCATCTTCTGCCCATCAAACTTTTTAGGAAAAAAAAGAAAATGCAGCTTAGCCCAATGTCTCAACCCTGTCAAATAAGGTTTAAATTACATGCCACTGCAGGGTTGAGAGAACAGCAATGATGAGCTTTATCGAGGGCAAAATGAGGAGCTTGAAAGTGAAATACTGAAATAGAATATCATCATCTCCATAAGAAACCAAGTTTTGTTCATCCCACCAACCCACAGTTGAAGTAACGTCATCAATGCTGCCAAGTGTTGTTCAAGAATACCCACCCGCCCCCTCCCCAGCCCGCCCCCAACTCCCCCATTCCAGATGGGGACTCTGTCATAATAATTGCTCACATTCTTCATTTGTCACTCTGAGAAGGCTTTTTCCTCTCTCTCAAATCTCTCAGCCTGTAACGCTAGGATCTACCCTTGAGAGAGAACCGCTTTTATTTACATCATTCAGCAAGAAAAGGTAACAACCAATACAATCCTCCACCTCCTGCTCTCCCACCGTCATCATCAGTAAAATCGACATCACTTAAAATCCAGACACAGGCACAGTGATTTTTTTTGTTTTTAATCTATAGCTAAGTATATTGTCGCCACTGATAAGCTGTTTTGTTTCTTCTTGGTAAGACATTCTAGTTGATATGTCCAAGGGTTATTTGGCAAATGTTCGATGATTCAATCCTCCGCTGAAACCAATCCCCCCCTTTACAGCATGTCAAGATTGTCACCCTCCACCACTGTGCTGTAAAGCAGCGCACTGCTCGTCCCGCTAGCTGCATCCTTCTGAGAGATAAATATGTGCAAATTCTTGTCTTAACAGCGTAACCTCCTGCTGTAGAAGGCAAGGTTTAGCTCTGCTGCTGCAGCAGAACCAAAAAGTCAGTCTGTCTGTCTGTCTGTCTGTCTGTCAGTGCAGACCAGGCTACGCCGAGGGGCCAGAGCTGTGCGAGGTGGGTTGGGCGAGGGCAGCGGCGCTCGGGGGTCCCGGTGTGGCAGCTGTTGGAGGGGCAGGTGGGGAGCCGGTCTGAACCTGGGCCTGGAACTGGGCCATCTGCTCTGGGCTGGCCAGCGTCTTCAACAGGGTGTTTTCCTGCTCCAACTGGGAGTTACGGTCAATCAGCTCCTTGATCTGCTCCTTTAGGACCTCCACCTCCTCACGCACGGCGTACATCAGGTGACTCTTCACCAGGTCCTGGGGCAGACAGAGATATGGGTTTATGACTCGGACATATCAACAAATTCCCACAAAAGAAAACTAACGTTGTCTAACCTAGGGCCCAATCTTTACTTCTCAGATTTACTTTGTAATATGTAATCTAATTTCTTCGCCTGGATTCAGACTTTTGAATCTTTGAATCCACCCACTCCACAGAGTTGACTGATTAGTCTGGCATCGAGACATGAAACAGCAGTTTCTCAGCTGAAATAAAAACAACCAATGGGCACCACAGGGAGACTAACAATTAGCCAGTCAGCACTACGGGCAGGAGTAATGCTGTTCAAACAGTGTGCCACAACCAATGAGGAGTGATAACAATGATGGGGAGCACTGCAGGCAAGATAGATGCTGCTATTGAGGCTTTTCTAAATAGACATGTCTTCTCAATTTCCCCCGACATTGTAGTTTGTTTGACTTCGCACCACTCCACTCTTAAAACACTGGCAAAACAGGTAGGTTGGCATGGCTATTCATTGGTGTGGATTTAAAATAAATAAAAAAAATAAATAAATAAGATTCAGGCAGATATGTTGGTTTCTAGTGACTGGACATTATTTTTGACTGAGGATGGAAAGGAGTGTCACAAGCTGACAATTCTGCCTGCTTGCAAATAACTTCTGGCATAATAAAAAGTTAAACTCAAATAACAACTGAATATCAAGCTAACTAACTTAGATGACAACTAATAAAATGCTGTTCAATATTTTGTAAATGTGTAAAATCTTATATATAAATTAAGAAACATAAAAGAACCATTTTCTAAAGTTTGACTAAAAAATATTTTGGGTTTATTCAGTGTGGATATAAAAGATTTTACAAAGTGAAAATTTGTAGTGATATAAAAGTGTTGGCCCTTGTGTAACCTAGCACAATATGAAACAGCTCATTCCTTTTTTCCCCTCACAAAGTTGGATTTAATGAAATGAAAACAATTGTACTGCAACTACTCATCATGCCATACAGCTGGGAATTAGCCATTTATAACAATACAGACAATTTTATATTTCATATGAATGATTAGCGCTACCCATATGTTCACTACTGGAATGCACTATGTAGACATCATTATATGAAATGATGCTGCAACAAAGAACCATAAATATTACGCATAAAATAACTGTTCCCTGACAATAATATAAACTTAATATGGATACTGACATAAGTGGAAACAGACCTTTAAAACTGAATCAATATAAAAAATAATCTGGCAATAATAACATAATAAATAGTTGATAAAGAGAAAAACGTGAGCGAGTATATTCCCAGGATGCCACGTCAATAACCCTGCCCACATTTAACTGCTTAGCCAATCAGAGGGCGAGATATTTATAACGAGGCGTGAGAGCCTTCCAGTTTGCCTAGCAACAAGGCTGACAGCGGGCACAACAACAGAGAAGAGCGAAACAGAAAATAAAAGTGCGTTTTGTTTCCTGTCAGAGAGACTGAATTATAACCAAAAGTAAGACGACACATTTATTATAGTAATAATAAAGAGATTTAAAAATTAGTTTAATGTCTTAAGTTGGATACAGAGGTTGGTTTAAACTCTACGTTTTGTTTTAGCATTAACAGTATTTTGGCACCGTAATAACGTACACAGTTATTTCTGAAGGGACCGTCAATGTACAATATCAAGTATATATTAATTTTAATCCACAAAAAGCTTCTTAAAAGTTTTTGTTGCCAGAGATTTGAGGGGAATACTCACTATTGTCCCACATTTATTACGTTAAACGCTATCAGCAGTACTGACGTTAGTGGCTTCACAATAGTCCCTGGATAGTTTGAGGTCCTATCATTAAGAAAAATATATCCATACCGTTTTATTACATGTATTAACAGTCATTATAGTCGTCGACATTTTCCACAGTGTAGTGTTTAAGAAAGAAACGCATAGAAAGCTCACCATTGCTTGTTCAATCTTGTTGTCTATGGCCACAACGCTGGCTCCTGACGAACTGCAAAAGAAGAAAGGATGAATTAATATAACATTTTAAACCTTTATGTGCTGTAACACAAAATATGGAGAGCCTATACGGAGAAGCAGCCTCTCTGCCTTTGTATTAATGAGAGTGGTTACTGGAAGCCTCTGGAAATTTCTATAAAATCAACGTGGTGCCTGGTGTGAACAATCCCTCCTGCCCTGTCCTCAGCGTTTATAGCAGTGTGGCCTCTGGGTGCAGTGATACTGTAGCATCCTCCATCACACAGTGGGGACATTAGTGGTGAAGGGAGCCCTGACTAGCAGCAGCAGTAGCAGGCTGTGTAAAGGACTGTCTCTACCACACAGTATTTACCTATTGTCAAGCTTGACGTGCGAGCTCTCCGCGCTCAGTAACGACGACAGGAACGATATAGAGAAATTTCTCAGCTGGCAGACGCCTAGATCCATGGCCACAGTGTAGCACGGCGTATTCATGCTGGTCATGTTTTTACAGTCCGCTAACAAACAGCCCCGTGTCCCGACTCGACCTCCTCGCGACCAGCTCCGCGAGACACATCCACACTATCCTATAGTCTACCCGTTAGAGCCCGTGCACCGACCGCAGCGGTACGAATACAATCCAAGGTCAGCTCATCTCGGCTCTACACAAAAATCTGCAGCCGAGGACCAGCCCGCATAATTTATCCAGCGACACAGCGCGAGGCCGCCTCCTGATTGGCTGAGAGGGGCCTCATTTGCATAATATATTCAGGAACGCCCCCACCTGCCGCTCAGCTGACGCGTTTTTACATAAAATATTCCAAGAACGGAGAGGAGGTGGATGAAACCGGGGAAAACCGGATGGGAAGGGGAGAAGAAAGAGCTGTGGTGCTGAAAAACAGGCGAGGGAAGGGCTACGGTTTAGGCTGTTGAGTTACAGCGACAATACACATCAATCAGCTCCTGTTTCAAAGTGAATGTGAATGTGCGAGCCTTTAGTGCTGCTAGGAATTTACCCCATCTGAACCTCACAGATGTGATCTTGTTTTTATCTCCACAACAACAAGACTGAGTGTTATTCAGCCCAGTTTCAGGGAATCCCTTTGCTGATAATTTGACTCAAAAATGTGGGGCAGTTGTTATTCTCCAGAATGTCAGAAAAATATAACATTTTAGGTATTTTTTTAGGTTTTGGTCACAAATACATGTTTATCAATGTACTTTTATGCTCATTTTATTTGCCTCAATTTAAGGATGTTAAAATGATTGACAATCTGTGTGTAAATGTGTACTCTGTAAATCTAAAACAGCTTTCACAAATGCAAACAAGATTTCTAAACTTGCAAAAATATGTTGCAAATATAAAACAGATCTGCAAATACACAAATTCCACAAATTAACAAAAAGATTCAGTGCTTAAAATGCAAATCCACAAGCACAAAACTGGGTTTCACAAATAAAAGCTGAATTCACAAATATTTGTTTGAAAGCTGTAAATGTTAGGGGGATATTTACAAATGTTTTTCACTTATTTGTAAATGAATTAAATGTTGTTTTGTGTTTTCTGTGGAATTTATTTATTTGCAAAGCAATTTTTTGAGTTTACTTTTTTTGGTTGGTATTTCTGGAAGGTGTTTTCAATTTACAGATTACACATTTACACACAGATTGTCAATCTGTTCATACAGATATTACTGACACAGATCTATCTCCAAATAGGAACAAGTAGTATACATGTAATGCATGTGTAGAGGCACACTATCCATGGTTGCTCTAACAGAATCAAGGTACTAAAACATTATACCAACATCCATGCCTGTCGGGGGACACCTATGTCCAGAGGACAATAGCAATCAGATGGAAATAAACGATAGGCAGCTGTTCAACCAAAATGCTCTGGATGTCCATGACGTGCTTTCATGTCCATATGTATGTTGCCCCCATGTGGCCCTGTGCAGCACTGCACAGCAGTGGGACTGAGCAACATCGGTAAGAAAGCCTGGTAAAACAGGCCTCTAACATTTACATTACATTTCAAATTCTCAAATCTTACAGAACACAAAGGGGAAAAACTATTGACATTTAAAGACCTTGAGTGCACAGCAGATGAATACAGTCCTGATGGTTTAACTCAAAATAAGAAACAAATGATGAGATTTTGTCAATCAAATGTCATTTGCTACCTTGAATACAGGTTGGCATGACGTCTATCATACACCTGTAGCTATATGTGGTTTTAATTGATACACAAAGACATTTTTAAGAGAATACAAAACCATCAGTAGTGTAACAAGTTACATTCTCAAACCATTTGTCTTGGAGACATGCCTGGACTCTCACCGACTTGATTAAATCATGTCTTGTGCAATTTTACACTCCCCTGTGGGTCCACAGAGACTGCATTGTTTGTAAATTACTACGTGACCTGTCTTACTGGGAGATTACACATCTGTCAAACGTCAAAGACTATGGAGGAGATGGGAGATCAGTGAGGTCAATCTGAAACAAACATGATCACACACACACCTCAAATATCTTTACAGAAGGGAGTATCTTGGTCGACAGATGCACCTAGAACAACTCCTCCACACTGAAAATTCCCACTTCTAAACAAGACCCCCTCCCACACACATACACCTCCTTACACAGTCTAAAAGGCCATTCTCACACATTCCATGTACACCCAAAAACCTGCAAAATCATGTGTACGGACTCTTGACCTTCTTGCCTCTAACCAATTTAGAGATGAAGGAAATCTCTGAAATGTTGACAGGAAGCCAAATGTTAGTGACAGTTCAGCTCTTTTTAAACGGTGTTGTATCAAGTTAGTACTTATCCATAGTTAGTGTATTACCTACAGTAAATGGAGTAGCATGCCCCGAATTCAGAGAAGCAAGCAGGGGTACCGCCACAAAGGATTAGCAATGTACTGCTCCGGACGGGGGCAGCACCAAAATGTATTTTAGCCACCTAAAAAAAACAACATCAGTTTAAGTGTACACTATTTGTAGAATATTTTTACTGCTTTACTTTGCCATTAGCTGTAGCTGTTATAATAATCTATGCTCTCTTTAAAGCCACCAGACTCCTTTGATAACCCCAGTAAATTTACCTCACAGAGCACAGGACTTGCTGTTCTATCACTGCCTCTCTCTGTTAGTTTGTCTCTCTTATTGTGTGACTTTGATGCTTTAAAATGTTAATTCAGTAAAACAAACAAGCTAACAGATCGAGCCAGCAGTAGACAAACAGCTCCTGTGTTTTTCAAGGTAAAAGGAGTCTGGTGGCTTTGAAGAGAGCGATATAACAGCTTTTGTTTCCTGTCAGAAAGGGCTGTCTAATGGAAAGGTAAAGTGGTGAAAATATTTTAAATAAAGCGTACACTTTAACTGATATTGATTATTTTTTTTGAGGGGCTAAAATACACTTTGCTGCTGCCCTCGTCCACAGCAGTACTTTGCCTGGCTTCTAGGGCAGTACGCCTGCCTGCATCTCAAAATTGGGAGTGTCCTGACTGCCAACTTGTGTAGGTAATTCACTGACTCTGAATGAGTACCTCATACAACCCCACCGTGAAAAATCCAAACTATGCCTTATGCTAATAAAATAAAAAAGGCCTGGTGTGGCATTGAGCCAACATGAAGGAAAAATGGAGGAGAAGGTACAGGCATGGTCCATGTTGAAAAAGCAAATCAAGCCCCTGAGGTACTCAGTCAGTATGACTGATGTGTAGCTGTTATATCAAGGGCCTGAACTTCCAACTGTGTGTGTTATGTAGTAGTGAGAGAGGAGAATGGGAGAGGAGGTAGATGAAGAGACATACTCAAATCGTGAAAACACAGAGCACAGGTTGAGTACTGTCAGCAGCCACATTTAAATGGGGGCTTAGGCTAATTTGGGTATCACAGAACAGTCCTGGCGTATTAGGGCCAAGTACCGAGAAGATAGGCTCAAAAATAGCCTCAGAGTACAGGTAGTGATGTCAGCTGCTGCTCACCTCTGATCCCAGTCAAACACCTCAGCACTTAACATGAAGCCAAACAGCTTAATAAGAGGCTCTAATCTCTTCCGGTCTCGTCTTTGACTGGAGGAAGGGTTTAGCTAATTATCCAGACCCAAATAGCCAGTACAGCTGCAGCTCTGGTGGAATAAAACCCAAGTCTAACGTGATCACGCTCTGAAACACACACAAGCACACTGAGGATTGATAGGAGCTATACTTGGTTCAACTGTTAACTAGTCAAGAGAAAAATAAGACAGTGTTCCAAGAAAATTCACTCTGATAGGTCAAGATGATTTTAACGTCAAAGTTAAACCACGAGATGACACTAGAGAAAACAACTGGATCTAGGCTACAGGTTATTCCGCTTAGTACGGGTTGGTAAATGAAGGTTCATATTTTAAGACCCAGATGCAGTGTTGATTTTTTTTTTCTTTATACCGTTTAACATTATTTCAGTTCTGCTGCAATATCACCATGTCTATGTTTCACCAGTGAAGTTCACCTATTAAAATACTCTTGTTATGTTGGCTAAGATGCTAACATCACAAATAGAGCTGCTACAATTAATCCTAATCACCAACTACTGTGATAGTCAATGAATCTGTTTAAATATTTTTTTAAAAAAAAGGTCAACAATCTCTGATTCCAGCTCTTTAAATGTCAATATTTTCTTGTTTCTTCATTTCTCTGTGACAGTCAACTGAATATCTTGTAGTTGTGGACGAAGCATGACATCTGAAGAAGTCATCTTCGGCTTTGACACACATTGGTCAACATTTTGCACCAATTCCTGACATTTTATAGACCAAAAAACAAATTGATTAATCGAGAAAATAACTGACACAATAGTCAGCAATGAAAATGATTGTTAGTTGCCGCCCTAGTCACAGAAATACTGCTTTAATGGTTCATGTACTTGATTTAAGGCCTTTCTGCTTTGCTAAAAAAAAAACAAAAACAATTGCCTAGTGACCTACTAAGGTAACTCAAGAGAAATGCCCAAGGTCACTTACTAGTGTTGGGCATCTTAAATCATATGAGGACACACAACAGAAACAACAAAAAGGAGGATCTGTAACACAGAATGTCATTAGGGGTACCTCTGAATATTATGCAGTCTAACACAAAACTACCAAAAACTGTGGCCTTAAAATGACCATGGCTTTGAATCAACACAACATACTACAAAAACATATATTTCACCAAGATAGGACTAACTGCAGGGCTCAGTCACATAACACTGTACATGTGCACCTATCAAACTAGTAATTCTGTAGCACCTCATGTAAATGTCCAGCTTCAATGCACTTCCTTTTACAAAACTGTGTGACTGTTGCAACACTGTACCTGTTAAGATGAATCACAAAAAAATGAAGCAAGGCTTATCATTACGCACTATTACCGTGGTATTTATGCGTTGCTATACTGTTGCAAAAGAGAGGGTGACTTCATGTGAAGTGATGGAAAGATGGAGCAACATGACGGCAACAGAGCTGCTACAAAACAGGAATATAAGGTAAGCAATTCAGTGAGAAAAAAAGAAACAAGCTGTGGGTTGGATTACTCACAGTCCCCATAGATAGCAATAAATGGCACTAATTTATACCACAGATGTATGTCACCTATGTTTTAACACTTTTCTATAGTTTACTATACATTATAGCACCCTACAATATTTTTACTATACGAGTACACAGCAGACACATTCATAGTATCTGCTTTAAGTATCCCTTAGTGTTAACCCTGATGCCACGCATCACTAAATGGAAAAGACAATATAGCCACGCAGCCCTTTGTGTGCAGCTACTGTAGTGATTGGCCCAAGCAGTGCCACACTGTACCGACTCCCCAGGGATTCCCTGTCTTTAGTTTTTACCTTTTGAGATGCTGCTCCAGCTCCCAGAACAAAAGCTTCATTGCCATCTCGTCATGGCCTCGTACTCCCCACACTCTCATGGAGCCGTCCGTCAGCAGGATCATGTACACTCCAGAGTGACAGAGCAGTGCCTCCCGCGCTTCTTTGTTTAGGGTTTCTTTTTTTCTGACACCCCTCGCTCCTTCTTAAATTTAAGTGAACAGATCTAGGTCGCGCCCTATAGATGCATTCGTGAGTGCA